GGCACCCCCGGCCTGCGCGCAACCGACCCCGCCCCACCCCCCCCCCCCCCCCCGCCCTCTCCCCCTCCTCCCCTCCCCACCCCGGCTCCCCGCTGCATGCAGCCTGCGGCAGGGCGTGCCCACCGAGGCGGTGTCTGTGGGCGTGGAGGTGACGGCGGAGGGGGCGGTGGTACCGGGCGGCGTGCACGTGGTGCCCAGCCTGGTGCGCCCCTCCCGCCGCCTCACGTACCGAGACGTGGACGAGATGCTGGCAGCGTGTGAGGAGGAGGATGAGCGGGACCTGTTTGAGCTGCGCAGGGTGGGTGGGCGGGTGGAGGAGGGTGTGCGGGGTGGTGGTGGCGGGGTGTGTGTGTGTGGGTGTGTGCCGCAACGATGGCCGCGTTGCGGCGGCGCGCGGCGCGTGACGCTGCGTGTGCTCGCTCCCAGGGAGGCAGCAGCCTGCCAGCTGGCTGCCGGGGCCGGTGTCGGTGCCTGACGCGCGCGGCACGCGGCGTGCGCGGCGTGGCGCAGGTGGCGGAGCTGCGCCGCGCGCACCGGCTGTGCGGCGGGGCGGTGGAGATTGACATGCCTGAGAGCAGCGTGAGGGTGGAGGGGGCGGACCGTGACGACCCGGCTGTGCTGATTGAGGAGGAGGACCAGTTTGCCTCGCCCGCACGCCAGGTGGGGCACGCCCCGTGCGGTTTGTGGGGTGGCGGCGGGGTGGGGTGGCGGCTGGGCGGCGGCGAGGGCAGGAGGCCAGGGCGGCGGCCCTCGGCTGCTGCCCTGCTGCGTGTGCGTGTGTGCGGGGCCGCCACCGAGGCTGGGACCCCCACCTCCACCTCTACACCCCCGACCCCTCCCAGCACCCTTCCTTCCCTCCCTGCCGCAGCTGGTTGCTGAGATGATGATTCTGGCGGGCGAGGCGGTGGGGCAGCTGGGGCGGGAGCTGGGCGTGCCGCTGCCGTACCGCGGCCAGGCGGAGCCCGTACTGCCAGAGCCCGAGGAGCTGGCGGCGCTGCCGCCCGGGCCCTGCCGCGCCGTGGCGCTGCGCAGCCGCATGACGCGGAGCGTCACGGTGGCACACGCGCCGCTGCGGCACGCGGGGCTGGGCCTGGAGGCGTACGTACAGTTCACCTCGCCCATCCGCAGGCAAGCCCCGCCCGCCTGGTAGCCGGGCTGGGGCTGGCGTGCGGGAGCGCGGTGCGCCGCCGATCGAGCCGCCTGCCCCATCCCCACTCCCACCCACCACCCACGACGCTGCCATGCTCACCTCGCCCGCCGCTGCCCCTTACCGCACACACCTGCAGGTACGGCGACCTGCTGGCTCACTGGCAGCTCAAGGCCGCGCTGCGTGGCAAGCAGCCGCCCTGCACCGCCGACGAGCTCATGGATTTGGTGGAGGAGGCGACGGGCACCACGCAGGCAAGCCACACCCCCCCTGGGAGCTGGGGCAGGCGGTTGGGGCCATAGCCCGGCCAGCAGGCGGGCGGCCCGCGGCGCGTACCTGCTTCCTCGGGCTGCCGCAGACGGCACTGCTGGCTTGGCCCGCGCTCGCCCCCCCGGTCCGCCCAGCCGGCGTGCCTGCCTCCTCCCCTGCCTGCCCCGCAGCGCCTGTCCAAGCTGGAGCGTGAGGTGGAGTCCTACTGGGTGGCCGAATACTTCCGCCAGGCAAACACGTGAGCGGGGCAGGCGGGGCGGGGTGGGGGTGGCGTGCTGGCAAAGCGCTGTCCCGCGCACCAGAGGCTGCAGGCGCAATGCTTGGATGGGTGCGTGCAGAGGTGCTGGGCTGCTGGCGCCCCTGGCGTTGCCTGAGTGCGTGCATTGCTGACCGCAGCGCCGCCTGCCTGCCCCGCCTGCCTGCCCTGCCGCAGGTCCGACCCGCGTGCCACCTGGGACGCCATGTTTCTGTGCTGGCTGAGGCAGGAGGTCGGGCTGGCGCGCGTGCTGCTGGGGGGGCTGGGCCTGGAGACGGTGCTGCGCATCAACAGCCCCGTGGAGGTGAGGCGGGCGGGCGGGTGGCCCTCAGATCTCCCCGGCGGCTCCCCTGCTGGGCGTGCGCTGCTGGCGGCTTGCCTGTGGGCAGCAGCAGCCCGATGCCCGCCCGCCCCGCTGCCGTCTGCCCCGCTGCAGCCCGGAGAGCGGGTGTATGTGCGGTGCGTGCACACCGATGTGCGGCAGGGCATGTACAGGCTGGAGGTGGTGCCCCACGGCCAGGTGGGTGGCTGGCTGGCTGGGGCAGCAGGCGGCATGGGCAGGGCCAGGGAGGCGGGGCGAAGCAGCGGAGGAGGGGTGTGGGAGGGGAGGGAGGAGGGGTGCGCGAGGCGCCTGCCTGCTCACCTGCCACACGGCCCGCACCTGCCACGCCCCGCTCACCGCAGGTCGACCCCGCCTCTGTGCTCAACGACTCGAGCCGGTACGCCGACCTCTATGGCTATGCCGGCGGCGACTACCTGCCAGAGTCGGACAGCGACTGACCCCGCTGGGCGCCTTCCTGTGCGGGCTGGCCTGCATGTGACTGATGCCCGCCCGTCCTTCCGCTCAGCACCAGGGCATGCAGGAGGGCCCGGCGGCTCCTGCCCCTTTCTCTGCCCATGTTCTGTCCTTTCATTAGATACCGCTCCCAGCATGCTGCCCCCCTTCTCTGCGTTCAATGTTTTCAGATCCAACATGCACCAATGCTCCAGCCATCGATTGCCTGTTGCTCGGTCGGCATTGCTTTCGGTTGCACCGCCCCTGCCGCAGTACTCTCTCGCTCAATGAAAATGAATCCATTATCCAGCCGTGGTGTAAACGCATAGCTGTGCCCACCCCCAGCGTGCCACTTCACGCCCAAACCCTCTACTGCTGCCCGTCGGGCCCCGCCCTGGTCTGCAGCGGACGGATGCACCAACACATGATGCACCAGTCAGGCAGGCTTGCGACGCCGCCGACAGCGGCATCACCAGCACAGGCTGCCTGATGGCAGGCGCGGCATGCGGGCGTGGCGTAGCCTGCTGCTGCCACCCACCTTCCACAGCCCATAGGCCGTAGAGATGGCCAGGAAGAGGCCCAGGGTGGGCGTGAAGGCGGGTAGCACCACGTCCTGGGCAAACTGGTCGAGCGCTTGGGGCATGAAGCCCTGCGGGCGGCGGCAGGCGGCGGCGGTGGGGGCCAGGTGGCTGGCAGGCGGGCGAGTGCGCCGCGGCGCCCGCCGCGCTGCGGCCAGGCCAGCGCCTCCGCCCCTCCCTGTCCCCGCGGCAGCGGCTCACCGAAGCCGCCACGTAGATGCCTTCCGCCAGGATGACGAAGAACAGGGCGGCCAGCAGGCCCACCACAGAGTTCTCGGCCTGCTGCTCCGCCGTCAGCGGCCCGCCGCCATACACCTGGTCGCGCACCGGGGAGATGACGGTGGGGCCCTCCTTGGCGCTGGCAGGGGAAGGCTTGAAGCCGGCACCGGCCTTGCCCTTCTTGCGCCGCAGCTGCAGCGGGCGGGAGGGGGCGGGCGGGGGGCGACGCGTGAGGGTGCGGCGATGGCGGGATGCAGCTGCCCAGAAAGGCGCGTTGGCAAGAGATTCATCGGAGCCACATTGACCTTGCAAAGGGCCTCACCAGCTGCAAGCAGGCCTCACCAGCTGCTCCGCTGCAATAGGTTCTTCGTCTGCCGCCGCTGCCGCCGAGCTGCCCTCCCGCTGCTCTTCCGCCCGGGCCACCAGCAGCCGCCGACGCAAGCTCTGCAAATCGGCAATGGTCAGGCGCAGCAGGTGTTGGTGTCGTGGGCCTTCACTTGGCGCCGTCCCTTGCCACACCACCCACTTGCCTGCAGCGCCTGATGGTTTGGCAGCCGCAATGTGCGTGGACCAAACGCCCCTCTCTGCGCTAGCGGCTGCCCTGTCGCTGCACTGACTGCACTGCACTGCATTTTCGCGAAACTGAGGCTGGGAAGTCGAGAGGGGGACCAGTAAGCGCCGCAGATTGTTGCAGCAGGCGCAGATGCAGGTGTGGCCTGAGATGAGGTTCCGGCCTGAGATGAGGTTTAGCGGCGCTGACATGGCTGGGCGCCAAGACCGGCCGCCGGTTCATTGCATGGTTGAGACGGAGGGTAGTCGGCAATTCACATAAATCTATGCAGGGGGCAGCAGCAGGTGGCCCGTGAGCACCGTCACCGCCTGCCCCGCCACCACGACGCGGCCCTCATCACGCTTGACATGCAGGATCAGCTCGCCGCCCCTGGGGCTGCATTGGCGGGCTCGCAGCTGCTGCTTGGATGTCTTCTTGGCCCAGTAGGCACCCAGAATGGAGTGTGCTGAGCCTGTGACTGGATCTTCAGCAATGCCTGCCCATGGGGCGAAGAATCTAGAGTACAAGTCGTGGCGCTCGCCATCACCTGGAGCCAGGAGAACAGGGCACAGCGCAGTGTGGCGCCAACCAGCAGCAGCCAACAACCACCAGGCAGCCCACGCCCCGCTGGACTCACCCTGCAGGCTCACGATCACCCCCACCAGGGCGCCACCAGTGTGGGCGTCCCCGAGCTGCTGGGTGTTGGGCTGAAGGCTGAGGAAGGCCTGGCGCGTGGCCTCCCCATCGCCCCTCAGCACTATGAGCAGGTACTTGAGTGGCGACGCATACAACACCTCTTCCACCGCCAGTTGGCCCACTGCTGCCTGCGGGCATACGAGGGAGGCACTAACATAGGTTGCATTGACGATGTTGCGTTTGCAGTCTCCTGGCGGCCACGACTGTGAGAGCTGGTCGCATTCAGCAGCCTCCCAAACCCAACCAGCTCACCTGCACCACTGGTTCCATGCCTGGTGGCACGGCGGCGGCGGTAGCCTCTATCAGCGGCAGCTCCATGCTGAGCAAGTCCGCCTGCCGCGTCACCACCAGCTCTCCGCTCAGTGTGTCAAACGCCAGCCGGCGGGCGGGGTTGGCCTCTTCAAAGAAGATGGCGGCGGCAGAGGCGAGCGTGGCATGGCCGCACAGTGGCACCTCGATGGCAGGGGTGAACCATCGCAGCTTGAAGCGGGTGCAGACACTGAAATCGTCGCTGCTGCCACCATCGCTGCACTCTACAAAGGCGGTCTCCGACAGATTCTTCTCCGCCGCTATCTGCTGCCGAAGGCTGTCTGAAAGCGGCAGTGCAGCACGTGGCAGCAGCACCACCGCCGCGGGGTTGCCCGCAAACGCTACGCCTGTGAATGCATCGATCTGCAGACAGGCATGATGTGTACGGGTGAGGTTGGCATGCAGCAGCAGCAGCGGAGGTGTGTGGCGGCGGGCGGTGACATTGTCAGGATGCTACAGCTTTGCCGGCAATTCCAGTACTCACGCCAACGGTGAATATGGGACCACCACTCGCCTGATAGCATGCCAAGGCTCGCCGAGAAGAAGCCATGTCAAGCGCCCTCCTTGTACTCTCTTTCAGAAATCTCCTTGTGCTCAACGGCGTGCCAACCGGCGCATGCCCGCCCCAGCTTGCGCCCGCCCGCGGCCCCGCCCGCCCCTCAACACACTCGTCAGGCCGCAGCCCACCCGCACGGTCGCCCGTTGAAACCCACAAGCAGCAGGCTGTGGCCTTGTGGGCCGTGGCGCTGGTGGCAGCCCTCTCGAGCTGTGGCCCTGACAACCCGTGGGGCAGAGCCCTGATGCTGCTGCCCGGAAATCCGCAGCTCTGAGTTTAATCCGTCGTGCTATAGGGGCCGCATATGGCGTGCTGCGCGGGAAATGCCACCTGGCGCGGAGGCCCGATGGACTGCACACTGGCTCGACACCCTAATGGCGCTGCAGCAGCTGCGGCTGACGCGCCTGGTGCCCTCGGCAATGAAGATCAGGGGCTGCGAGCCCCCACCCAGGCTGCTGCTGCTCCAGGCGGCCCCCAGACGGGCCCCAGCAGCATCGCGCCGCCGCTTGGCCGTTTCGGCCGCCTGGCAGCCACAAGGGTGGTCTTTCTGGTGGCCCTGGGCGGCTGCAATGCACCTCCCCTGCTCCACCGCCTGCCGCGTGGCTAACGTGAGCTCCGCCAGGGCAGCCGGGGGCAGGGCAACACTAGCGGGTGACCATGGCCGAATGCACAAGGCCTTGCCTCCCACTTTCTTGCTCCTGCCATCCCGCTGCAGAGCAAAGGAGATGAAGAGCTTTGCAAGAATGCGCTGATTGATGCATCCAAAGCTCCGAAGTCCGAAACCGCTGTGGCAAGAGCGGAGACACTGGCGGAGCTCGCCGAAGGCACATTCCTGGCGGCGGAGATGGAGCGCCTGGTGCAGCGCAAGGCCAACAAGGCGGACAGTCTCACAGACACTGAGCTGGAGCGGCTGTCGGACAGCGACACCTTTGTAGCACACGCGTGGCCTCGCCTGGCAGCTGGGGCCATTCTAGCATCTCGCGCTGCCGCAGCGCAGGCCGCAGCTACGGCGGCAGCAGCATGGGCCACCACGGCATTGGGACTGGAAGCCAAGGCAGAGGCCAGCGCTGCCCGCGTGGCCTGCCAGCCGGCGGCAGAGCATGCAAGCTTAGCTGTGGAGTGGGAAGCAGCTGCTGCAGCGTTGCGAGCAGCCTTTGCGCAGCTTGAACTGGCCAAGCTGGCAGACCCTGGGTCGACGGCGATGCAGGAGGCGGAGCAGGCGATGTGGGACAAGCGTGGCTTCAAGCAAGTGAGTCAGGGACCAGCAGCGAGCTGCACACCCCAAGACAGCCCTCTGGTGGGTACTCACTGTGCAATGCACCTCCCCTACTCCACTGCCTGCCGCGTGGCTAACGTGAGCTCCACCAGGGCAGCCGGGGGCAGGGCAGCGCTAGCGGGTGACCGTGGCGGAATGCACAGGCCTTGCCTCCCACCTTCTTGCTCCTGCCAACCCTCCCCTGCTGCGCAGAGCAAAGGAGATGAAGCGCTTTACACGTATGCGCTTGCTGCTGTATCCGACGCGGTGATGGCCACAACTGCTGTGGCAAGAGCGGAGGCAATGGCGGAGATGGCCAGCGACACAGCCTTGGATGCGGAGATGGAGCGCCTGGAGCAGTGTGAGGCCAACGAGACCGGCAGCCTCACAGAAACAGTGCTGGATCGGCTGCAGGACAGCGAGTTATTGCTTGTAGCACAGACGTGGCCACGACTGGCAGCTGGAGCCATTCCAGCATCCCGCGCTGCCGCGGCGGAGGCCTCAGCGGCGGCGGCAGCAGCATGGGCCACCACGGCATTGGGACTGGAAGCCAAGGCAGAGGCCAGCGCTGCCCGGGCGGCCTGCCAGCCGGCGGCAGACCATGCATGCTTGGAGTTGGAGGCAGTTGCTGCAGCGTGGCGAGCAGCATTTACGCAGCTTGAACTTGCCAAGCAGGCAGACGCTGGGTCGACGGCAGTGCAAGAGGCAGAGGAGGCGATATTGGAGAAGCGTGGCTTCAACAAACTGCGCCGGCAGTTTAATGAACAGGCTGGCACATCGTGAACAAGGGTATACACCCATTTCTATTTGTGATTAGTGTCTGACCTTCTCCATTGCCCTATTCCCCTCTGATCGTCACACCCCTCATGCATTTCACAGACGCACCTAGCCACTGCACTACCCGACTCAGGCGAAGGCCTGCCCATGCCTGCTCATCTGCACCCTGCATGTTCCCATCCTTGCAACAAACCACGACAAACCTGGACAAAGTGGCAGAAGGGTTGGAGCCAGACATGGAGCAAGTCGGTTGCGGGGTAACAGCAGATGGGCCTGCAGACTACTGGGGCGCAGAAGGCTGCCCTCCATGTCTGGTACCACGATTGGTTGGCGTGTAGCACCGTCATATTGCATGCAGGCTATCCATTGCCGCTATCCATCCAGGGCGCCGGCGCTGTGGTGCCACGGCGCAGCATTTGGATCAGCGGCTCACCGCCCCAACTTTGTTGTTGCACATATTCTATCTCTGCCTCCGTTTTTCTTCCTCCGACGGCGGCGTCGCTCGGAAGTGCTTCTGCCTTTGCTCGCCAAGGGACCGCCCTGCCGGCGTGCCGCTGCGCCACCACGCACAAGATATGGTGCCAGCACTTGCACAGCTAGCCGGCAGCAGCGCCGTGCTGAGGGCCTCCGCCCATGTTGGCCGTTCACAGCTGCTTGCCGCCGCCCCGCGGCGCGGCTACCGGAGGTCCGGCACGCTACATATAGTCAATCAGGCCCGCAAGGGTCTGACGGAGCTGCTCAGCCTGAGCACCAAGTGAGCCGGCATGTGTGTGTGCGCATTGGCGTGCTGGACTGCAGTCCAAGCCCCTGAGGTAGATTGGAGTCCGTAATGTGCGTACCGCCCGCTGACTGGCTGTGCTGCAGGGAGGGGTCGTCGGACCGCGCGCCGCTGCGGCCGGGCAAGGTGTCGCCCAAGCTGGAGGTGCCTGCGCACATCAAGCGGCCGCCGTATGCAGACAGTGGCATGATGCCAGACTGGGACCCCAACCCCCAGATCCACGATGCGGCGGGCATTGAGAAGATGCGGGCAGCGGGGCGGCTGGCGGCGCAGGTGCGGTGTTGTTGCGGCTGCGCCTTGCCCCATCACTGCCGCCAGCCTTGCTGCCCGATCACAAACTGCGTGCCCGACGCCCTGCCCGCCGACCCTGCTGTCTGGGCAGGTTCTTGAGATGGCGGGCGGCATGGTGGCCCCGGGCGTGACCACCGACGAGATTGACAGGGCGGTGCACAGGATGGTGGTGGAGGCGGGCGCCTACCCCTCCCCACTCAACTACGGCCGCTTCCCCAAGAGCGTGTGCACCAGCGTGAACGAGTGCATCTGCCACGGCATCCCCGACTCGCGCAAGCTGCGGGACGGGGACATCATCAACATCGACGTCACCGTGTACCTGGATGTGAGGCGGGCGCGGTGGCGGCGGCGGCGGCGCCGCCAGTGCTGTGCTCATTGCCTCGCTGCGCGTGATGGGCCGCTCTCTATTGCGCTTCCTCCCGCTGCCTTGCTCCCTGCCAGGGCTACCACGGCGACACCTCACGCATGTTCTACGTCGGCAGCGTGTCGCCCGCAGCCAAGAAGCTGTGCGAGACGACCAAGCAGGCGCTGAACGCAGGTGGGCCCCGGGGGCTTTGCGGCCAGCCACGCTGGGCCCTGGGGCGGTTTGTTCCAGGGCCGCTGCCGAGCCTGCACAAAGCTGCAGCAGCGCCCTTGGTGTCGTGGTGTCGCCGCGCTTTGCAACCGCCCACCCCGCCGTCCGCCGCGTGCAGCCATCAAGGTGTGCGGCCCTGGCGTGCCCGTCAAGGAGATTGGCGCCGCCATCCAGGCTGTGGCTGACAAGCACAAGTACGGGCTGGTCAAGGTGTTTGTGGGGCACGGCGTGGGCACAGTCTTCCACTCGTGGCCACACGTGGCGCACCACAGGTGGGACGGCAGGGGGACCGCTGAGGAGGCGCGGCCTGCTGCCAGCCTGCTGCCTTCAGTGCTGTCTTCTGCAGCCGCGCCGGCTGTTCCTGCCCGCCGGCTCCGCAAGCCTGCACCCTCTCCCCCCTCTTGAAGCCCCCCACACACGGCGACGCCACTCCACTGCCTTGTTGCAGGAACAATGAGCCTGGGGTGCTGCAGAAGGGCATGACCTTCACCATAGAGCCCATGTTCACCATCGGGCGCCCCCAGGAGCGCTACTGGGCAGACCAGTGGACGGCGGTGACGGCAGACGGCAGCCTGTCAGCGCAGTGGGAGCACACGCTGCTGGTAACGGACAGCGGCGTGGACATCCTCACCGCCTACGAGTAGCGCCCCGCTGGCCTCCGCGCCGTCTGGCTGATGTTTGTTGTACACTTGCTTTCTGATACGTGCCCGCACTGCTTCGGTTCCTCTCTCTTCCTTCCCAGCACCACCTCCTATTTCTGTGCAATTCCAACCTCTGCACCCGCTGCCAGATGTGTATCGCTGCGCACAGCCATAGTACCTGATGCGGTTACAACAGAACCACATGCGTGTGTGGTGGCATGGCCGAGAGAGACGGGCATAGCGAGGATCCGAAAAGAGCAGGGACGGGAGAACACGAGCAGGGGATCAAACGAAATGAAAGTGGAGGCAAACAATTGCAGAGTAGAAGTTATGGCATAAAGACATTGGCGAAGCGTACATGTGGCCTGGGCTGCTATGGTGGATGGGATGCTGCGGCTGCTGCTGCCGCCGCCATCGCAGGCAGCAGGTGCTGCTGGTGTCGTGCCTGCTGCTGCTGCTGCTGCTGGCGCGCCTCCTGGATGTGCGACCGCCAGGCCAGCGCGATGCCTACCGCCCCCGCCAGGAGCACCCCAAGGAACAGCGCATCCCCAGGGGTGAAGCCGGCGTGGGTCTGCCAGAAGCGGCGCAGCACTGTGGCGTGGCGCTGCATGCGAGCATCCTCTGTGGCCCACTTGAGCTTGCGCGCCCGCACCTGCATGCGGCGCAGGCGGCTGTCGGGTTGGTGGCATGTATGTGTGCAGAGGGGTATCTGTGACGTCTGCGCACTTCCCAGCACAATCCACCCAACCTCCTAACACCTCAGCACACCTTGTTGTGCTGCGCCTGCTCCTTCTCCCACTCCCAGGCCGCCGCCTTGGCCATGCGCTCCGCGCTCATGCGCTCCTTGGCAGACTGCCGGTCCTCATAGTCGCGGAACCTGCGGCCAGTGGGAGGGCAGCCATGGGAAGGTTGGTTGGAGGGCGAGCCAGGCAGGCTGTGCCGATGGCATGCAGCAGGGGGAGACTTGCCGCCACTCACTCCTCAGACATGCGCTTCCACCACTCGTCAAAGCGCCTGTCGAAATCCTTGCCGTCCATGGAGGGCTGGCCCCAGGGCGTGGCAAAGCCGGCGCCCGAGGCGGCCGCCTCTCCGGCGTCGGCGGCGCCAAAGCCCGCCGCCCGCATGGCATCATACTGCCGCCGCTTGGCCTCATCCCGCAGCACTGCGTAGGCCTCCTGCAGCTCGTGGAAGCGGGCATGCGCCGCCTTGCTGGCCTTCGGATTACTGCGTAGCAAAGGGGATTTCGGCGGGAGAGACAGTCACCGCTACATAACCCGAGCGCTGGCGGCGGCCCAGTGAGCGGCTCACGTGTCAGGGTGCAGCCTGAATGCTGCGTCTCGGTATGCTCTCTTTATCTCTTCGGCCGAGGCCTCTGGACCAACCCCCAGCACCCCATAGAAGTCCATTTTGTGAAGCACAAACTTCTGCTCTCACAGCGCCTGCCCAGCGCCTGATAGGGGTTGCCATACGTCTGGACAGACCCGATGAATGCTTCGGAGGGCAAAACCACCCGAGTTTCGAGCCGTGAGGGGCATGCTGTGCCACCTGTGCGGTGCCCCTGAACAAACAACGGCAGCAGAATGATCGCCGTAGTCCAATTGTGCACCAGTGGACCTGAGAACAGAACGGCAGAGTGACGGCCGACGCCCGGCTGCCCTAGCACCTTTGCAGTGCGCTCAAACGGGACCCCACAGCACCTGGCGTCCTCGGCAGTGAGCAGCGACATGTCCAATAGCACGCAGCAGCAGGCCTCCACCGCCGGGGAGCCGGCGCCAGCATCGGCGGCGGCAGGGGCGGCGCACAACGGCGGCGCCAGAAGCTCCGGCTGCCCGCCGCATGTGCTGGCCGCCATTTACGGCAAGATGGAGAACAAGAAGGAGGCGCTGGACAAGTCGCTGCAGCGCTGGTGGTCGGGTGAGGCTGCGGCACAGCATGGAAGAAGGGAGGCGCTGACCAAACCAACGCTGGGCCATGCCGAACGAAGAGAGCACCACCTCCTCCCGCCGCCATGATGTGTGCAGAGTATGCAGACCGCAAGAACGACGAGGAGGACGAGCATGTGGCCGACTCGCTGCTGGTGGGTGGGCGCCCGCCGGGCGCATGCCGGGCGCATGCTGCTGCAAGAGCTTTGCCATGTTCCTCCCCACCTGGCACCGACAATTGACCACACTCCTTTCTTGCCCCGCAGTACGACCGCAACCACCTGCCGCGCACCGCCCCTGCCCCAGACTGCGTGCAGCGAGCCATGCAGCGTCCACCCGCAGCGGGCGGCGCAGCAGGGCAGGCTGCGCAGGCGGCTGCGCAGCCGCCCGCGGGAGCAGCGCCCCCGACATGACACGCCACGATATGCCTCACTGCACAGCACTCTTTCATGCCTTACACACAGCTCAACGTTTCCCAACGTGCCAACATCCAACGCATTTCATGGTGCAGCCCAGTCAGCAGCCAGTCAGGAGTAGTACGAGAGGCGCCTGCTGCGCACGCCCGCCTTGTTGGCGGAGGTACCGTACTGCTTGTTCCACTCGTTCAGCTCCTGGATGGTACCGGACTCGGGGTCCACGCTGGGCGACACCTCCCTCAGCGCATCCTCAAAGTCCTGCAGGGCAGCGCGGCAGGGGTGCAGGGGTGTGGCGGCGGCGGGGATGGCGGCGAGGTGTGTTGCTGCATGCGTGGTGTTGGCCCACCAGGGTAATGCAGCTGGACCGCCCATGGGGCCAGCACTTCACAGCTGTGCAAGCAGCCAGCCGGCCGCCGCCTGCCTGCATGCTGGTGGGTCGGAGCTCGGTCTTGGGGTTGGCGGGCAGGCGCGCGATGCTCTCCGCCTCGCGCAGCAGCGAGCCCAGGCGCGGCACCATGCGCAGGCTGGCAGCGGCGGCAGACCCGCCGGCGCTGCTGCTGCTGCCGGGCGCGAGTGCCACCTCGGGCTGCTGCTCCATGCCTGCGGAGCTCGCCAGGCTGGCGCTGCGTGAGTGGGCAGCAGATGCTGCCGAGCCTGCCTCGCCCCCATTGGCGGTGGCGCCGCCATGCCGCGTCAGCTGCATGCTGTCCTGCGTGCCGCTCTCCCCCGCCGCCACACCCTCCTCCTCCGCCTCCTGGCAGGCAGCCCCAGCAGCACTCCCCGCGCCCGCCTCTGCGGCCACAGCCTCAGCCTTGTCGCTGCCGCCGCCACCTCGCTCCAGGAAGGTGCGCACGGGGCGCATGGCGGCCTGGATGCACAGCTGGCGCAGGTCGCTGCCGCTGTAGCCCTCGGTGCGCTCCGCCAGCCTGACGACGTCCACGTCAGCAGCCAGCCGCTCCCCCTCCAGCACCACGCCCAGGATGGCAGCCCGTGCCGCCCGGTCCGGCAAGCCGATGAACACCCTGGCACGCGGCGGGGTGGGAGGTGCGGGCAGGGGGTGCGGGAGAAGGTGAGGGCAGAGCCATGCCGCGCCAGCAGAGCCGCACCCAGGGAGCCCGAAGATCTGGAGCGTGCACACACACACACGGGCACACACAGCACAGCACAGCACAGCACAGAACAGCACAGCACAGCACAGCACCGCCACCTGTGCGTGAAGCGCCTCAGCACCGCCTCGTCCAGGTCAAAGGGGCGGTTGGTGGCCCCCAGCACCACCACCCGCCCCCGCCCCGCCCGTATGCCGTCCCACTGCTGCATCAGCTCGTTCTTCATCTCCCGAAGCGCCTCGTGCTCCTTGAGTGAGCTGCGGCGCCCCAGCAGGGCGTCCACCTCATCGATGAAGATGACGGCGGGGGAGAGCTTGGCGGCCAGGGTGAAGGCGGCGCTGCGCGCGGCACGGCACGACGCGGCGCGGCGCGCGCCGCGTCAGCACACGCTTCCGAGAAGCGGCCGCCCGGCCCCGCCCTGCCTGCCTCTGCTCCTCCGTTTGCCTGCCCACGGCAATCAAAGCGCCGGGCCTCACCGGATGAACTTCACGCTGTCGCCAAACCACTTGGAGGCGACGGCGGAGGGGTTGAGCGCCAGGAACGCGGCGCCGCACTCGGCCGCCGCCGCGCGAGCCACCAGCGTCTTGCCGGTGCCTGGGGGCCCAAACAGCAGGACGCCCTTGGACGGCCGCGCAAGAGCGCCGCCTGCGTGCGCGGCGGGCCACAGGCGCGGGCAGGTGATAGGCAGGCAGTCGTGCGGTGCTGATGTGCGTGAGCAAGTGCCACCTGAGGCACCCCTGACCTCCGCAGTGCCCCTTCCTGCCCCGGCCGGCCAGCAGCGCCCAGCGCCGGCAGGGGGAGCCAGCCGTGTGCGCACCCGTGAACAGGTGCGGGTGCTGCAGCGGCAGCTGCACCGCCTCGCGCAGCGCCGCCTTGGCCTCCCCCAGTGCCCCCACCTCGCTGAACCCGCGCCCGCAGTCCTCGGGAGACAGCACCTGCGGGAGGTGTGTGTGGAGGGGGAGACGGGGAGGTGGGGGGGAGGAAAGCTGGGGTGGGCGCCCCCACAAACCAACCCATCGCTGCGCGGATGCCCACAAGCGCGCCCGTGGCCTCTTCCTCGACCTGATGCGGGAGCA